CTTGATTAAATAACCTCTTTACTATCTGCTCTAGTCATCAAAAACAAATAAGTATTTTCTTGTTATATCATTTTAAACAAAGCCTTTCTCATATAATAAATAAACATCAAATTAATTGTATCCTCAATCACATTAAGTTCACAAAACACAGACATTGGTCTTTAGAATCCCCTTAAATCTGCCCACTATGACTGCAAGAGAAGGACTGTTGGTTCTTCATTGGTCTCACTGTAACCTTTATCTTATTTTAATCTCGAAGACAAGAATCTTTATACTCCTTATTCCTCCTTAGTTGAACTATTCCAAAGACAGAATCAGAAAAACAAAGCTTTATTTCCAAGTGGCATTTTACATGTACCTGGATTTAGTTTTGATGTCAGCCTGCTACACACACAGACTAACACACAGGCACATAAATTCACATAAATAAAGCTATATAGACACACAAAGAGAAGATGTAAAATAACAACATTAAAAACATGCAATGACATCAATACTAAATATAATTAAATATTATTTACATGTGCAAAGATTTCAGTCTCATTTGAAAGAAACAGAGGTTCTGGACTCAGGCCTTATTGATGAAGCTAGCTGCAGATGGGAGGAATCTGTTTTTATGGCAAGTGGTTTTGGTCCTGATGCACCACATCCCCCTGCCAGAGTGGAGAGGCTGAAACAGTTTGTATTCAGGGAGGTAGGGCTCAGCTTTTTCCTGCAAGCCTGAGAGTCCTGGAAGTGTACAGTTCTCTGCAGAGCCAATATTAATAATACGCTACCATTGTCCCTGGTAGTGGGAACAGGTGATGGAGGAGCTGAGGATGGACTCAGCATTGGCAGAGTATAAGTGCACCATCATTGTATTTGACAGGTTGTTCTTCAGCTGTTAGAGGAAGTATGTTCTCTACTGGGCCATCTTGGCTCAAAGAAACATCTCAAAGCTCAGTAAAGAACAGCAGTATGAGTCTAGGCATTCATCAAAACCCGACAGCCATGTGGCATAAAGTGAAACTGAGCATATCATAGAGACATTATTCCAAATTTAAATATAGATTCATATTGTTGTATCTCTTTCTCTCTAAATGTTGAATCCAAATTTTATATCTCTTAATGTTCATTTCTATTTACTGCATCATGACACTTTTTGCAACTTACTTTCCTTTTATATAACCGTGCTCTTATTATTGTGGCCAAAGCTGTGATCGATAGACGCTTGATTCCTTCCAAAAACATCCTCCTCATTCACCAATAAATCATATGTCTGCCTGCTCTAATTTATCAACTTTATTACGTGTTAGTCTGTTTGACAAGGTATATTTTCAGCACAATAAAGCTAGCCACAGTTGATAGGAAGATGAACTAAACCCTTCTCCTGTAAATAACTGCCAAGCTCTGCAGCGGCGGCAACCTGCATCTATAGCTTAATCTTTCACAGAAAATTGTCCTACTCTTCAATTTTCATTCTGAGACAAATGATCTGATTAAAGTTATTTTGTGCCTGTAATGTTTTTAAGAAAAAGAAAGTAAATAGTCTTTTCTTTGTTGGTATATTCTTTTTACATAAGCAGAGTTTATCTATATTCACCCTTCTTTTATATAAGAAAAATAAAATCTGCTACTCAGATTGACGGTAATTTTAGCTGGACAATAACTTCACATGTGTCTATGATTTCACTATACTAGAACAAAGTCAGTAAACAACAGTACAAAACGAAATCCAATTAATTTTTTTATTAGAAAATGAAGATTTCAAGCCCATCAAACTCTCTGTAAATGGTCATTATGCATTTAATACATAACCTAAAACAGTGAGAATTGGCAGTTGAAGTCTGCAGAGCATGCCAAACACAGATTTAATGACAATACCAAAGCTTTGCAGCATGATGTAAATTCCTTACAGCAAAAATGCAGTGTTGCTTAAAATGTTGTGGGTGCAGCTTTCATCACCTCCCATAATGAAATACAGTCAGGATGGAGAGGTGGATATAAACTAAATGTGTTAAATGGACACAGAACATTCATACATATTATCTATGTTTGAATTGGAGGCTTAGCAAGTAAAAGTATAACTGTTTTTTTAGTTAACTGTAGAGCTACAAGAAGCAGATTGTTTCATTCATATCATAAGCTATTATATCAATATTAATATTACATTAAAGTGTCATCGCTTTCAGAATTGAATTCCTATAAAAAGGCCTGGGAACAACACACTGTATAACATGTATTTCAGGACCAAACAGGCAATAAATATTCTGCACCCCTTAATTGCACATTTACTTGTTCTTTTTCAGAGTTATTAACTGCTTGTGACTGACCAAGAAAAGGCAAAGGGACCTCGTTAAAGAAGAGAGACTGAGAGGAGGGAGGAAGGGGAGCCGAGGGAGACAGTTTAACAAGAGAGACAGGAGACAGGGAGGGCGTGGTGGCCGAATAAATCCTCGCAGCATTTATCATCAAGCTGTAGAAGAAACGTACAGGATTGTTTTCTCCAAGAGGTTTAATCAAGGGTAAATCAAACTAAAGTATGCTGCTGAAATCCCCCCAATTTATCACTAATTTTTATCAGTAAAACTTTCCACACCTGGCAAACTGCTCACAGAGATTATTCTATTATTCTACATCATATTATTTTATTTATAAAAGGCTATCCTCCTCTAGTCTGGTTTCTTCTCTTTAACTCAACAAACTACCCGTTCAGACATGGTAGTATATTGGGACATCTATTTAGAGAACGCTGCCTATTGTGTCTTTGTTTTGTTTGTTTTTTCATCCAATTTCTGTTGCTTGAGTGAAGACTTGATGTGTCAGGATGGGTTCCTTCACTGACATCACCACAGCACCAAACTACAGTAATGCTGCTAAAGTGTCCCAGGACACGCCTGAATGTCGTCTGAGAAAAACTGTCTACAAAAGCGTCTTAAGTATGTCCTCAAATTTATTTCAGATATACCAAGAAACATGCCGATAACAGGTCTGCATGTTTGGCTCAAACTGTCGACATGTTTCCAGCATTAGAAACAAATAATTTTAATTATTCCTGCAGTTTTTCAGTCTTTATACAAATATTAATTCAGAAGGGGATTTTTGTTCCTGTTTTAATCACATATAAGTAGGTGAAAAATTGGCTGATCTCTAAAGAACTGCAGCAATACATAGTAAGGAGAAGAAACATGTACTTTATGTGATAGAAAATATTTAGCAATAACAGCTGCGGTTTTAAATTCCCCTGCATTAACATCAAATCAGTGACAGCATACGAAGAAGCAAGACTTTATTGAGCCAGCGATCAATTCCCAATTATTGCCAAATGATGTAAAGTTCAGGTTTTAGTTACCAACAGGAGGAAAAATAAGACATTAGTAACAGAAATATGTTATTTTTAAGATCTGTAGAAGTCACAAAGTATGCAGTTTTATATATTCTAGACGAGCAGTTTTACGAAATCAAAACAACCCAAATGCCTGTTTAAAGGTTGTTGAGAAAAAGAAGCAAAGGCCATAAAAATCAAAGATAAAAAATAATAATAATTTGCTTAAACAAGCATACTTGTTATAAAAATATGAATTAAAAAAATTCTGCAAAAGAATTTACTTTGGCAAATTTTGCAAAATTTCCTTTTTTTCTTTCAGATGAGGAGTTTTTTTAATTGAGCAACATCTTTTAATATGCAAATGGAGAGAAGCATTCTGAGAAAAAGAAATAAAAACCTTAGCAAGATCCTTTTGCTTGAAAAAAAAGGATAACTTGCCAATGTTATGTATGCTGGCAGAGAAGGAAGAAGTTGTTAGTCATGAATTTGTCTTGGAATCCAAAAACCTGATTCCCTTTGTAGTTGTCTTGATGAAATGACAGCTAAGGTAAGAATGAATAACACTGTTTGAATAAGTCAGAAACAAATGTATACCTTGGTAATACTTCTGACTTAAAAAAAAAAAAAGCTACCAATGCATTTTAAAAGCTATTACATTAAAACCATGCAATACGTGGGCAATGGGTACATCCAAACACCTATGCACTTGTCCAGGTTTGTGTGCATAAATCAGCTCCCACCTCCTCCATCACTCCCCGTGGTTTACGCTAAGCCCAGCGGGAAGCCACATCAGCCTCTGATGATGACACGTATGATTAATGACTCCAAAAGACTGTTTGTTTTCATTACGCCTCCTCGTCAACTGGAGCTGTATCTGAACTCCGTGCCGTGCAAGCAAAATCTGAGCCAGAACAAGGGGAAAATATTTCAACAGGGGTTTCTCTTTGGAACTAAAATAAAAAAAAAACACAAAGGGGGCCTGGTTTTGTTTTAAAGCGGCAACTGCCCACGGTTATATTTTCCACTGTTACTTAAGTTCAGAGGTGGCCAAGGGATTCAAAGGCTGGAAAATGTTGAAAGGATATGGACAACACAAAGGTCCACCATAAGTTTTATGAGAGTTTCAGTTGCCTGGTTTTATAGACTTCCAAAAGTTTTACTCATGCTATTGCATCAAAGGTACAGATGCAAACAGAAAAACTAAATGTTAAGGTTAGATTTGTCTTATAGTGTGCATACCTGATGAACACTGATACAATAAGAGATAACAGTGGATTAAACCTAACAGCTATATGGAAAAGTTAAGGTCTATGAAGTTAAAGTCTTGAATAAAGATCAGTTGTTCTCTGGAAAAATGATCTAGAAATAAGTCAAAATTTCTTAAATTAAGTGTGTTTACCCTTAATTTGAGTAGGTAAATGATATAGTTTGCCAAAAGAATGAGTATTTCTACTCTTTAAATAAGATAATTAGATAATATGCACTTGAAATAAGACAATCCAATTGTGTTTTCTTATCTTAAGTGTAAATTGTCTTGTTCCATTGGCAAAATGTCTCTTTCACCTCCTCAATCCAAGAACAAATGCACTTATTTTAAGAAAAAAGTACTTATCTAGATTTTGATTTTTTCCAGTTGTTTCTACTATTATTTTTCTACAGTAAACAGACAGCACATTTATTAGGATATCTTACATTACGTGTGTCCTAGCCTCCTTATCCCAATGGTCACTTAAAAAATTCAAATAACAGCAACCCGGAGTGACATTTGGCTAAATGATTCACACAATTCAAAAAGTTCAAAGTCAATGTGCCTTACAGAAAGTCTCAGTTCGTATTAATCCTTATCTGCACAGATTGATGAACATTTAGAGAGAGCTAGTGACCAGCAGACATTGATGACCAGGCCCCTTCCATCCTCCAGACAGAGAAGGCATAGCTTAGCCTCTCATGGGCAAGGTAGTTGCACCCGGCAAGCTTGCTGTCCATCTCGTTGCTCTGCAGAACCTGGTACAGAAAGTCAATGTAACGAGACGCCAACTTGAGGGTCTGAATTTTGCTCAGTTTGTCAGAGGGAAGTGTGGGGATGATCTTCCGTAGAGAGGCAAATGCTTCATTAAGCGACTGAGTCCTCTGGCGTTCGCGGATGTTGGCGATCGCACGCTGAGCATGTGGGTCCTCGAGGGCAGGGAGTCCTCCAGGACTGTGACCCGAAACAGGAGAAAGTGAGGGGCTGGAGGAAGGCGGTCGATGCTGAGGGCTCGGTTTGAGTTTTTTGGGGCCTGTAGGGGTGTATATCTGAACATCATCCCCTGGTTTAAGTTTGTCACGGTCTTCTGCTGAAGTAGGAGTGAGTGGAATAAGGTGTTGCTCTGTCTGTGAGCCCATCTGACGTTTACACCCAGTGATGCCCGGAGTGGCTACAACAACAGCACAGGCATTAGAAAGGGGTCTTGCCTGCTTCTCTTTGGGAACCACCCTTCCTTTAGGGTGCTCATCTCTGGAAAGCTCATCCTCTCTCATGCTTGGGCGAATGTTTCTTCCCCTTCTCTCCTTTTAAGTCCCTTGTACTCCACTCGTGTGTTTATCCAGGGGATCTTTTTGTAAGTCCCTTTCTTTTCCTCTTTTCTGTTTGTCCTCTAATCTGCTGTTGTTCTTCCTCTCAACTTGTCCCTTGGGTATACTCAATCAAACCAAAGTGGAGGAGCCAGCAGTCAATGTCAGTTCCTTTATCCACATGTGTGGAAACCCGAAAATGTGCTCTTGAAATCTCTGTTAGTATGCATTACCAGGAACACACTTTCACAAGCAGCATATGAAAAAACAGCAAAGTGAGGGTATATGTTTAAAGGCAGGAGACTGTGAATCTTTCAGTTTCCCTCCCACTCAGTTTCCTGATTGGCCTGGGATGGATTTTAGGACAGCAGAGCTTTCAAACAGAGGAAGAATGTGTCCCAACTGATTGGTCTAGTGAAGACGTTGAGGCGGAGAGAGAGATTTTTGCACAGCCAACCAGATCTGACCGTTGTGACGTTTGCTCCTTGTTCCAGAAGTTGCTTAAGTTTATAGGTTCCAGATTTCCTCCCTCCATAGCCACTCCCCTCCCCCCTTTCACTGATGATTCACAGCTCAGCTGATCATCCCTGGGCGTTTTAAAATAAATCAGAAATCTGTAAAAGAATCAGTATTTCTGTTAAAATTGAGAAAAAATTTATTTATATCTTCTAATATTGGATCTTCTGCCCTTTTAATTTAATTTATGGATTTCGTGCACAAAATCCCGAACTAAAAGGGTGAATGTTACAAACACTTACGGTGATTCTTCTATTTCCTTCCTTGTAATCTGAACACACATTTTTTACTAAATAGGACTAATTACAGAATTTATTATTCATGTTTGTCTTTAAACTTCTGGGAATCAAAGGCCAAAGTTTGGGTAATTTTGCAAATCCAAGTCTTGGATTAAGTTTTAAGAGCTCCAGCTCTCAGTCAATTGAACACAACAGCATTGGACTATAGCATGACAAACCTAAGGGTTAAAGTTATGAACCCATTACAATTTTGTAATCTTGATTATTTAGCAATTAGAAGCATAACATTTAATTCAAATGAATGCTGTATAATTCTTTTTATTTTTGCTAAATTTGGAAAATGTTTTCCTTCACTTCTAATGGGATATATTGATTTGGTCAGGTAAGTACCAGAGAGGGTTGTTAATCAGTTTCAGCTGCTTTGGTGTTAATGAAATTAACAACAGGTGCACTAGGTGGGCAACGAGACGACCATCAAAACAGGAATGGTTTTACAGGTGGAGGCCACTGACATTTTTTCCCCTCCTCATCTTTTCTGACTATTTTTCACCAGTTTTGCATTTGGCTAGGGTCACTGTCACTACTGTTAGCATGAGGCGCTACCTGGACCCTACAGAGGTTGCACAGGCAGTCCAAATCGTCCAGGATGGAACATCAATACATACAATTGCCAGAAGGTTTGCTGTGTCTCCCAGCACAATCTGAAGAGCATGGAGGAGATTCCAGGAGACAGGCAGTTACCTTAGAGCTGGACAGGGCCGTAGAAGGTCTACAACCCATCAGCAGGACCAGTATCTGCTCCTTTGTGCAAGGAGGAGCAGGAGGAGCACTGCCAGAGCCCTACAAAATGACCTCTAGCAGGCCACTGGTGTGAATGTCTCTGGCCAAACAATCAGAAACAGACTTCACGAGGGTGGCACAGTGGAGCTCGATTGGCATTTGCCACAGAACACCGGGGCCCTGTGCTTTTCACAGATGAGAGCAATTTCACCCTGAGCATATGTAACAGACGTGAACGGATCTGGAGAAGCCGTGCAGAATGTTATGCTGCCTGTAACATCGTTCAGCATGACCGGTTTGGTGGTGGGTCAGTGATGGTCTGGGGAGGCATAACCATGGAGGGATGCACACACCTATACAGGCTAGACAATGGCACTCTTACTGCCATTAGGTATCGGGAGGAAATCCTTGCACCCATAGTCAGACCCTATGCTGGTGCAGTGGGTCCTGGGTTCCTCCTGGTGCATGACAATGTCCGGCCTCATGTGGTGAGAGTATGCAGGCAGTTCCTGGAGGATGAAGGAATTGATACCATTGATTGGCCCCCATGCTCGCCTGACCTAAATCCAATAGAACACCTCTGGGACATTATGTTTCGATCCATCCGACGCTGCCAGGTTGCACCTCAGACTGTCCAGGAGCTCAGTGATGCCCTGGTCAAGATCTGGGAGCAGATACCACAGGACGCCATCCATCGTCTCATTAGGAGCATGCCCTGACATTTTCAGGCATGCATACACGCACATGGGGGCCATACAAATTACTGAATACCACTTTTAGTTGCTGCAATGAAATTTCAGCAAAATGGACTAGCCTGCCGCATCATTTTTTCACTGTAATGTTTGGGGTGTCTGAATTCAGCCCTCTGTAGGTTGATAATTTTCATTTCCATCAAATGATGTGGCATCCTTTTGTTCCTAACACATCACCCAGTCCATATCAGTATAAATAAACAGCATGATTGTTTGCCCCATTGAGATCTGATGTGTTTTCAAAGTGTTTAATTTCTTTGAGCAGTATATGTAAAGAGTTCATCTGTGAGACAAAACTGAAACATTAAGAACAATTTCTGGTATTTTAGATACCAAGACTAAATAAGGCAAGAAATAAAGAGTATAAAATGTAAAAAGTAAAGTGCAGTAAAATTATTCTGATAAGTACACTTTTTTTTAAATTACTCAAGTAAATGTAACTAAGTAAATCTATTTAGTTATAACCCACTTCTGATATATTATATGCTAGTTTTCTAGTTTACTTTTCTCTATTCTTTTTCTGTTATTATCAGGAGTTACAGTAAGTTAAGTACAAATAATTAAGTAGACTTCTTAGGTACCTATACTTTACTCCATTACTTATTTTTCTTCCTACTTCTGACTTCTACTCATTACATTTTCACACAAGTATCTCTACTTTCTATTCCTTACATTTTTAAAACAAAGGTTACTCATTACTCTTGGCTTTGGTTTAATGTTTATAAATATTTATTTCACATCATGTGCTCCATCCAATGCAGATCATTGGCTCCATCCACATCTAGAGAAAACTAGTGTAATTGGATGAGTCATAACGCAAACACTCATTGGTTAGCTAAAGGAAATCATCAGAAGCAAGCAGGTGTTCTTCAAACTGCAAACGTGAATTGTCTATGCCAGAGGTCTTCAACAGGGGGTCAGCGACCCCTAGGGGGTCCGCGGAGGTACGACACTCTTGGTTGATTACTTTTTTTTTAATATTCCCTCCTGCAATTTTTTGCACTAATTAAAATGTCTTTAAATGCGCCGCACCCACCGCACCGCAACGGTAAGACCGGAGTCGGTGTGAGCCGGGGGCAATAGGGAACACCTGTGCCGCCTCTGTGGGCGTGTCCAGGTATGAGTGGTAATGTTACCTCCAAACAAAATCAGAAAAAAACACATGCAACACACAAAAATAAAACAAGTAAATAAGTTCAAAAATAAAGAAAATCCAAAAATTAGAAAATAGCATGCAATAAACTTGACAAAAAGGCCACATTACCACAGAGTGACTATAGGACCAGTTTGATAGAACACAATTTCATACAATATATATAATTAGGGGGTCCCCGCTCCATCTCGCAATCAGTTTGGGGGTCCTTGGCTTTGAAAATGTTGAAGACCCCTGCCTTATATAAAAAACATATGTATCAGATGAAAGACCAAAGTCTCAGGTATATATTTTGTATTCAGGTCATTTTTATATCTTATTACTGTGCAGAGTTATAAGTGATCTAATGGAGATTGTCACCATGTGACAAGTTGCCCCTCCACAGGGTAAGTTGTCACACTATATGGGGTAAAATGTCACAATGGGTTTTGCAACCAATAAAATAAGGGCAAAATTTATTTTGTTGTTATTTCTTAATGTTAAGTTAACAAATGACAATAACTCACTTTTAATGGTTATGAAATAATATGCAACATGCATTACAAAACTTCAACTGGTGCATGAACAAAAAGAAATTTCACGAGTCAGATTCCTCAACTGAGCTGCAGTTTGGGCATAGCTTATGTAGGTTGAATTGGCAGGAGCACGTGCATTATATGAAATAACATGAAATAAAATGAAATATGAAACAATGATTATAAACCTGATTCTGGGACAAAAGAAAACATAAATAAAAAACTGAATTTATTAGTCACAATCCTCCTCTGAGTCACAGTTTTGGCATATGTAGACTCAATTGCCAGGTGTGCATTCTTCATGTGCCCATCCTTTGCATATCATGCACTGAACCCATGTTTCTCCTGGGCGCCTGTTTTCAAATGGCTCTATGCAGACCAGGCACAGGGACTCATCTTCTGATGAGGAGTCGTCTGGAGTCCTCTGTTTCTTTCCTGTGCTTTGCTTCTTTGACATTTTAGATTTGGTTGCATGCATTTCATTTTGAACAGTCTTTTCTTTCCTTGTGCTGCCTTTCAGCTTCAAGTGCCTCCTTCTTAGGTGTGTCAGTGAGAATAGAAGTTTTTTTCTTCTTTTTCTTCTGGGCAACTTTTTTTGTTGGACCAGCTTTGGATAAGGCCTAATATCCTCTAGAGAAAATGTGTTAGTGGAGGATGCTGGGTCACTAGGGCCTTGAATAGCTTGGAGCTTGGGCCTGGAGCAGCTGGGCCAGTGCTGGGTCCAGGAATGGGTGGGTTGGTGTTTGGGTTTGGTAGAGCTGGGTCCTGGTAGGGGCGATCTGAGACGTAAGATTGCGCAAATTCTGTCTCCAAGAACACATCCCTATTGTAAGGCTGAATCCCTGTTGCCCGAAAACCAGCCTGAATATTAAGTGGGGTTGCAGCCAGGGGATAAGCAATTTCTACAATCCCAGGGATGTCATAAATGCTGAGTGTTTTCTCTCTGTTGTTCTTCATCCAGGAATCAGAGACAGAGTTTACATGCTTTTTAAATGGGCCATAAACACTTCTGTCTAAAGGCTGCAGCCTGTGGGAGCAGTGGGTGGGAAGTACAACATGATGATGCCCTTTTCTTTGGCAAAATTCATCCCATCAACAGAGAGACGTGAGCAGTGCTCCAGAAGGAGTAAGCAGGGTTTCTCCTTTGAGCACTTGGAATGGTCAACAAAATACTCACAAAAGTGCACCTGAGGAAATATGAAATAGGGGGGGGGGGGGGGGGGGAGGGGGGCTGTTCCCTGTGGCTGAGACTGCGCAGGCAAGGGTGACCCCAGGGTACCCCTTTCCCCAGATGTCAGTGACCCAACCTGCTTGAAGCCACGCCTGGCTCCAATCAGTCTGGTTTCTGTACTGTTGTCACTCCAGTTTCATCCATGTTCCAGATATCTCCTGGACCTAA